CCATCCCCCTCTCCCCATCCCATCCCCTCAACTCCCCCCTCTGTCCCCCTCCAGCTCTGTATACAAACATGCACACGCAAACAAGCGCACGCAAACACACACACGCGCGCATACACACAAATCCGCCGACAAAGACAGGCGTTCGAGTCGACTTTCCAGGAATTATGGAAACGAGCGAACTTAACCTGCTGTCGATCTGTCAATACACAGAGAGAAACGACGCAAGAAAGGAGAAAAAAAGGAAAGAAAGAAAGAAAGAAAAAAGATGGAATGAAAAATTTTGAAAGACTGAGAGGGAAAAAGAGAGAGAGAGACAATGAAAAAAGATTGAGAGAAAAAAAAGATAGAACATAAAAAAGAGAAAACAAGAAAGATAGAGACAATTAAAAAAAAACTGATAGAGAGAAAAAAGGGAGAGATAGAGAGAACGAAAAACCTGAGAGAGAGAAAAAAAGACAGAGATAGAGAGAATGAAAAAAAAAATGAAAGAGAAAGAGGGGAAAAAAAGAGAGATAGAACGAGAATGAAAATTTTGAAAGAAAGAAAGAAAAAAAATATATAAAGGCTCCCTCTCCCTCCGAACAATAACAAAAGCCAAGACTTCGCTGCTTGAATATCCTCCAGACAATAAAGGCGTGTCGGAAATATCTTAAAAATTGACACAAAACACAGCCTTCGTCCCATTCTTCGCTTTCCAGGAACCCAGCTCACTTGTGCCGCCGAGAGAAAGAGAGAGAGAGTGGGGGAGGGAGAGAGAGAGGGGGGAGGGGGGGGGGACGGAGGAGAGAGGGGGGAGGGGGAGAACGAGAGAGAGAGAGAGAGAAAGAAAGGGAGAAAAAGTGGGAGAGGGAGAACGGGAGAGGGGGAACGAGAGAGAGAGAGAGAGAGAGAGAGAGAGAGAGAGAGAGAGAGAGAGAGAGAGAGAGAGAGAGAGAGAGAGAGAGAGAGAGAGAGAGAGAGAGATTAGTACTGCATATATTGTCCTCGTTAAGACGCGTCACTTAAAGAAAGAGAAGGGAGAGCCCGTGTTTCCTCCCTTCCCCTCCTCCTCACCTCCCCCATTCTCCCTCCATCCCCCTCTCCATCTTCCATTCCTCCCTCCCTTCTCTCTTCCTCTCCCTCCTGTCTCCCTTCTTTCCTTCCTCTCTTCCCTTTCTCTCTCGCTTTTCCCTTCCTCCCCCTTTCTTCTTTCCTTCCTCTCCCCTCTTCCTCCCTTTTCACTTCCTCTCTTCCTCTCCCTTTCTTCTTTTGGACCCGTGGTGACATACCAAAGCCCCCCCCCCCCCCCCACCTGCACCTGCGGGAGGGAGGGCCAGTCATGGGCACACCTCCTTATGACGCCCTTTTGTCCTCTCCTGCGACCCTCTCCCTCCCCCCCACCGTACCCCTCCCCCATTCTACTCTCTTTCTATTCCCTCGAACTCATTCTCACTCTGTCTCTCTCTTTTTCTCTCTTTCTTTCTTTATCTCTCTCTCTCTCTCTCTCTCTCTCTCTCTCTCTCTCTTTCTCTCTCTCTCTCTCTCTCTCTCTCTCTCTCTCTCCTTCTCCCTCCCTCCCACTTACTCTTTTATTCCCTCTGCTACCTTGCTTTCTACTCATCTTCTGTCTTCACTTTATTTATCTTTCTCTCTCCCTGCCCCCCCCCCTCCCCCCCTTCAGTCGCATCCTCCTGCTGACCCTAAAATATTCCCGTTTTCTTTGCGAATTCTCCGATGACTTCTCGACCAGCTTTGTGACGACTTAATGTATTCTCTTTATCTCTCCTGCCTTTATTTCCCTTGAAGCTATTCCATGTTTCTTTTTCTGTAATTTGGATGACCTTCCCCCCCCCCTCTCTCTCTCTCTCTTCTATTTTCTTCTATTCGTTTTATCCATTTTTTATATTTATGGAGATTTATTTTGATTTCTACCTCGTCCGTTTTCTGATTTTTTCCCCAATTCACCTAATTCTTTTTTTTTCTCTCTCTCTGGCATCGTCATCATCATATTTATTTCCCTCCATTTCTCCATTTCTCCTCCTCCACTTCTATCACCATCTTCCATAATTATCACCATTATCATTTCCACTCTTCGCCTTCTCCTCGTCCTTGTTCTTTCTCCTTGCAACAGAAAAAAACAATGAAAACTTAGTAAGTGCAACAAATTCTATACAGGGAAAGGGGGAAGGTAGGGGGAGAGGTAAGGGGGGAGGTGGAAGAGGGGATAACTAGAGGAGGAGGAGAAAATGGAGAATGGGGGGGGGGGGGAGGAGGAACTGCAGGCGCGAAAACTTAATCGGACACAATTTTCTAGCAACTTCACCCGCGTCCCACAACAGTCTCTCTCACATGCACACTTATTCACTTCCCTCTCCCTCTCTCCCTCTCTTTCTCTTTCTCTCTCCCTCTCCCTCTCCCTCCCTCACTCTCCCTCCCACCCACCCCCCCTTCCCTCTCTCTCTCTCTCTCTTTCTCTCTTTCTCTCTCCCTCTCCCTCTCCCTCCGTCTCTCCGTCTCTCCC